TCCTCCAAGATACCGAAAACATCCCATCAGGTCTCTTACCGTCGTCGCGAGTCAGCCGAACGGGCTCTAGAATGGCTGGCACTGACGCCGTAACAAGAGCTCGACGGATGATATCATTAATACTTGCATGCCGAGAGATACAACCAGCACTTCTGCTACAAGATAAGCCGTGATGACCTAAAGAGTCCACCGTTTCATCACAAGGGCAAAAAAGGGGGCAATTACAGGTTGCCCCCAGGCAAAGACAAACTGAAAGCGGAAAGTTGTATTATCTAGAGTGTCCCAACAGTCGGTGATGGCAAGACTGTAAGACCGGATTCCCACTCAGCGACAGCTAAGAGACGAACATGCTCTGCAGAATTGACAGACGTATTTAATAGATTATTCCATACAAATTTACAGAGTGGCTCGTCCCAATGTTTTTGAGCTTTCATTACTGTAGGAAAATCACTTTTAGATAATATCTCTCAAGCACTTTTTGCCTCGGCCATATAGTAGATAGCAGCAGTTGAAGATGTTTTAGACAATATTTTTTGTTTAGGTCGCTATGGACCGAAGTTTTAATGTTGGAAGAGTAATACTAGAAATTTTGCTTAAACCTAAATCTCCGCTGTACAGGAAGGGAAGCCTGGTCCCACATTTTGTCACTAATATCGATTTTTAGTATAGTAGAAACAATTTTTTTTTGTTTTTGTCCATTGGAAGTGTAAGATTTGTGTGTTTTCAAAATGGTGCTGAACGTAAAACATAGGTAAATTAAGGAACAAAGAGACAATAACGCATAATTATGAAAGCCATTTGATTGATTTATTTGATAAACAATCAGCAACTGACTTTAAATTTTATTACTTTTTATTCAGTGAATTGATTGAAATATTCATGTAAGATAAGTTGTACGGTACTAAAAATTACTCACTAAGCCGTTGCGTTAACACAAATGGTGCTCAACCACTGACACAGCACGCGTACACCAACCGCTCGATTGCATGGATTTGTTGGTGTTATACGTTCACTGCAGTCACATACGCATTTTTTGCAGAAATGCAAATATTTTTTTTTACCTCGAAAAGCTGATGATGTCATAAGCTAGTGTGCGCGTGTTGACGCAATATGGACGTTCGCCTAAAGGCATCATTTAGTCGATTGTGAGGGAGATAACTACCGGAAAATATTATGACCTCGTTTACTAAGAAGTACTAAGAACTACGTATTAAACGAGACGGCGATGTAAGCACGTCTGTGTCAAAATTTTAGTTCAGCACAGTTTCTCTAGTAGTAGGAGAAATCCATGATACTTGATCAGATAGCAAACATGATCGTGATACATAATTCCGTATAAGTTTTACGTGGTTGGCATTGCTGTCAGATTATTGTGTTATTTGTTTTCTTTTCTTAAATAATGTCTGAAAAGGACACACAGCAAGTCTGACTATGGCTCCTATCTCATCAATTTCCCATATAAATGTCTTTGTAAATAAACATATTCATTTTTGTGCAGCTTCAAAAATCAGATGATCGGAGAGTGGTACTTCATCCAGTGATGCTCAAATCGACGGGCTTGTACAGATGTGAGGTATCCGCTGAAGCACCAAGTTTTGCATCAGCAGCTAATGAGACACACTAGAAAAATCTATAACATTTCCTTTTTAAAATCAATTTTTTCGATAATATTCTAGAATGTTGTAGAACATTCTAGGTACTTCTGGTGTAGGGTATATAAAGCCGCGCTCACGATTTGTTTAGTCAGTTTGAAGAAAAATGGACGAGCGACAAGTTCGAACACTATACTTATACGAGTACTTGTTAGGCCACAGTGCGCGGGCTGCGGCTGACAATATCAACAATGCATTAGGCGCTGGAAGTACAAGCCATGCGACGGTGTCCCGATGGTTTGACCGTTTTAAATCAGGAGACAGGAGCCTTGAAAGTCAGCCACGCTCAGGGCGACCACCCGCAGTGAATGATGACGATTTGCGCCGCAAACTGCAGTTGAATCCGGATGCTACCACTCGTGAATTAGCGGAAGCACTTCAATGCAGTCACCACGTCGTGGAACACCATCTGCATGAGCTTGGTTATCGAAAAGTTTTGGCTCGGTGGGTACCGCACATCCTTACAGACGCCAGTCGTGCAGTCCGTGTCGCTATCTGTCAGTCACTTTTGCTGCGACCCCGACGTAAAGAGTTTTTGTCAGATCTGGTTACTGGAGATGAATCATGGATTTATTACGAGAACGATACACGTCGTGCTTTTTGGCTGCCTCGAGAAGAAACGCCACCAACTCAACCGAAGCCGAGTCAAAAGAACCGCCGAAAAATTCTGCTTTGCTGTTTCTGGGATGTGCAAGGCATGCTGTTTTATGAGCTATTACACAATGAAACTATAAACGCTGACAAATATTCAACCCAGCTTACCAAATTATCTGCCGCTATCAAGAAAAAACGACGAAGACGAGTCAATGTAGTTTTACTGCACGATAACGCTCGACCTCACGTCGCATCTGTGGTTCGCCGGCAGTTGGAGAACTTGGGCTGGGAGACGATACCCCACCCACCTTATACCCCAGACCTCGCCCCATCAGACTATCATTAGTTTAGAGCCCTGAAACAGCATTTGCGGGGTAAACAATTTAATGATTTCTCTGACGTAGAGGCGGATTTGAACAACTTTTTCGAGGCACAGCCATCAGAGTTCTGGGCAAAAGGCATCCAAACTTTGCCGGATCGTTGGCAAGAAGTCTTAGATACTAATGGTAATTACATCATTGACTAAACTTTTTTTATTGTAATAATAATAAAAAAAGTAAAAACTTAAACCAAGTGTCTCATTACTTTTGTGCCAACCCGAGTTTTGAGATAGAAGAGATATAATTGATACGGCAGTCCTCTTTAGTACCCATCTTTCGTCAGATATCAGCTACTATCTTTCTCCTAACTAACTCTAACTCTCCTTAAAGAGGGATCTTTATAATATTTGTATAGATGTGTTATTCGAGACTTGGAAATAATACAGACAGTCGAATTTCTCAAGTACTCTAACCCATACATTTTATATTATATTCAATGGCAATGAGCTAAACGCAATTTTGTCTTATCGCTAAATTAAACGAAATATTCTAGTGTGTCCTAATTAAAGCTCATACCATAGCGCGACTATTTAAAATAACGTACGATGAATTTGCTCTTAATAAGCCATTTAGGAATACACTAAGAACTGAGCACCCGACATAATTTGCAGAAAAAGAAGTTAAAAACGGTACTTGAATAACACTGAGCAATAAAACACTTCCAGCACACTAAACTAAATTTTTAACAAAGAATTGCTATATCAAAACGGCACCCAAGAAAAATTCATACTCTCAATGTGCACATAAACTGCAGGATTCATGAACAGTTTAAATCCCCTGAAAATGAAACCCTATTTTCATCTTTTTGCTTCCCCAAAAATACAGGTCCGTCCAATCTATCCAATATATTTGAAGATCCTTTATCCCTTATCAATGTATTGCTATCGGGGACCCGAATATCTTTGTTCTTGACTGAATTCTAATGTGCTATAGAGTCCGTTCGGATAATGTCTTTAATAAGGAAGCGAGATTGGAGCTCTCAGTGATTCCGTCGTCCAAATACTCTTAGTATTTGGAGAATTTTTCTTTTCTTGATTGTAAGTAGCGTCATTTTGTCTTATCACATTACTTAACTTCTTTTGTGCTTTAATTATCTTTTGAGTTATTTATTAAATAAAAAGAAAACGATAGATCGATAGATTATTCAGACACACAACTTCATCACAAACTTGTACTTAACAAAGAACAGTCAATAACAGAATACATAATGATATAAGTGATATACCTGTGTGCAGCAGTAAGATAAGGGTCAAGGCTCGGTATACATAAATCACCCAAGAATGGATGAAGCACCGATGTTCAGCCTTCACCCATTATTGTCAAAATCATATAAAAATATAAAAGTCAATTTAGTAAGAAAATTAATATTAAATGGATTTAAGTATATACATGAGATTATAGTACTAGTCGTTAGGTTTCAGGAAGAATTATATACCAAAATATGGGAACACTACGCGAATAAAATGTCAAGAAATATTTTTAATCAATTGTTGTAAACAAATATGATGATGATATAGCTAAATATGAAACTCCATTCGCCTATGTAATTACTTTAGGTCGTGAAATACAACGAAAGAATTTATTTATTTAAATTATTGCAGTTAAATATTTGAACGCGTTTCTTTTTTTTAAGAGTTTATTTGGACTAGGTATATCTCCTATGTAGAATTACGATGATTGGCTACAAGTAAATTATTTGATGTGTCATAATGAACTAAGCTTCGAAAGATTTAAAAAATAACGCCCCAATTAGAAAACACTAAAACTAAAACAGTCAGTATGCAAAAAACTTTGTGACCGTAGTAGCTTAATGAAATTTAATTTATTTCATATCTCTTTTCAATATCCGTAAAATATTAACTGAGATCTAGTTCGCTTATTCTAAAGCCAACTTAAGAATTAGTGTCAACATATTTAAGGTTACTTTAACCATAATAACGATACTCAGTGTAAAATAAGTTAAATGCTAAATAAGCAGCCCTTGCTGAGTTTATTTCCAGTTCTTTTCAGTACAAGGTCTCCCGCCATAGATTTGCGAACTGGTCGAATAGCATTCACAAGTGCTTTGAACAGCCAATACTGAATATATTGTTTTGAATTTGAAAATAGTTTTGTGTTCAAAATTCTGAATTATTCCATGATTATGATAAAAAGAAGTAGTAATTTTATAAACATAAACCTGCCACTTATAAATCTTTCACAAATTGCACCTGCTATTATCGATTCACATGGTGGTTATGATCAATTCTTAATGAGGACGGCGGACCTGACTTACAATAATTACACGTTATCGTAATATATTATTTCATATGCAGTTGCAAGCGATAATAAATGCGATAGCAATTCATTATATGTCAATTATTCAAAAGTAGCAATGCCTGCACCGAAAAATATATTTCGTAATTGACTATAAAAAAACAATTGTATGGAAAATCTGATATTCATAATGAATCGCCGTTTATACGTGGTTATAAAAACGCTTCAATTTCTTTCCAGCACGGATAATTTTTTTTAAGTAACAGCAGAAACTAAAAATTTACTTCAATTTTTTTAACCTTAATTAATTACTTTGTTGCGTATTGTATTTCAGTTATATTGACCTATTTTTTTCTCGGAGAACTTTTAAAGGTTCCTAAATAACAAAACATCTGCCTCGCTCTAATTAAAGTGAAAACTGTTTCTAAATATTAAATATAATTTTTAATATCGAAAATATTTTTTTTTTCTTTCGTTACTTATAAAATATACAAGTAATGTATTTAATAGCCGCTGAAAGGTACTAAGACAATCTTGTATATGTAATTTAATATAAATATGTAGTTTTAATGTAATTTATAAATGTAGAGGAACTAAAATAGAAACTCTACTTAGAGTTTCTAATGATTATTTAAAAGAGTTAATCTTCGAAAAAACTGATCATATCATGAAAATTCATTCACTGCGGGAAGATACATAATATGCGGGTGATGTAGACTATAATTTACGCGGATAAAATCGCGGGAAAATAGCTAGTTATAGAATAAACTAAAATAGTTCAACCATTTCTATAGCCTGTTATTGACCGAAAAGCTGTAATATAAACTAAAGAAATGTTAAAATTCAGAATCTGATATTGAGTATTAAAGGTGGATTTATTAAACTATTTAGATATATAAAAGTATAATTTAGAAAAGGTCGATTAAAGCCAGAATGTTTCTGAATTATTCTTTTTCCAATTGAACATGTCTGTATGAAATAAAACAAGGAGAAAAAAGCAGTCTTTGCTGAATTTCTTCTTCCCGGTCCTTTCCAATACTGCCCAGTATTGTGTCTCTCGTCATGGATTTGCGAATCGATTAATAGCTTAGACCGAATAAACAATATTGGATTTGAATTAAATTCTTTATTATATTAGATCGATATTGCATTCACAATGCTATACTGAATAATTCACCTTGTCCCTGGAACTCTGAGATGGGACTCGAAAAATGACCTTTTTAAATTTTATAAATCGGTTTTATTTTTTTTTTTTTTTTTACTGATTGTAAAACCCCGTTTCATTTATTGTTTATAGCTTCAAAATTATTATAAAGATTTTATTTAAATTTTGCTGTTCCCTGAGTTGATGAAACTAACTAATTAAACAAAAATACTCATAACGAGGAATATGTGGATAAGCTTACAGTCACACGTTACGTTACACACAAATTTTAACGCACGATATTAAAACCCCATGTAAAGGGTTAACAATGAGTGAAAGTTTGTATAATGTATTAAGCCGTTATTATATTAACCATTATTTACTGATATAGTATAATCTATGTGTTTACTATTCAATTTGTCATTATGATTATATCCGGGTCATGATATGAATCGATATTCAAATAACAGTTCCCTAGGGACCACGCGGGCAAGGCCGCTGGCGGAAAGCTAGCACTGTATCTTTCCTACAAATTGACATACAAACTCTTTTCTTGAAGTCGGATCAAAATATTAAAGAAAATTACGTATTGAAAATTTATAAGAGTTGTTTGTTGATAATAGTGATATTTTGTTTTGAGCAGATCTCCCGAAAGAAGGCCCTAGAATAACGGGCAACGAGCAAGAAAACAGGAGAGGTGATTCAATGTTCCTCAACTGCACGTCAGGGCGGTCATATCCCGCGGCTGTGCTCAGTTGGGACATCGATGGGGAGAAGGTGAGAAGAGCGTGAATTAAACACGGTTCTTCCAAGCATTAGATGTTTATTAATACTAATTTTATATTGATTTTACCTGCTTGTAATTGTATTTCCTTACCTTTTGGCATGATAAATAACGTATTACTATTATAACGCTTGTAGTGTGGTGCTTAAGCGCCTCGTTGTTGTGAAGCAACTTTCGCAAGGGTCGGTCACGGGATTGGTGATCGAAAAATTATTTACTCGAGCTACTCCGTGCGCGAGTGGCACGTTAACCCGTTGGTCCTGGTTGCATTTGCAGTCGTGGTCATGGCCCATCCTCCTTAATCATCTATAAGGAAGGCCTGGGCTCCTGCATTGGGGACGTACAAAGGGCTGATGATGACTACCCGATTATAATTACCTTATCAGTTTCATCACCATCAGCCCTATTTTCCCGCCAAGCAATTTTTTTATTTAATAAATGTAAACGTTGCCATATTCTATTTTTTTTTTTGTATTGTGATTGTGTTCAATAGTATTGTTTTGAAGGTAGCTATACTCTTAATTAAAAAGACAATCAACACCTTAGTCTGATGTGCACATAGAACCTGTAAAAGTTCCGAAACGTAAATAAAATCAAACGCGATGAAACCATTTAAAAGTTGTTTCATTTAAGAAAACTTTTCCTTAAATTGATTTTTTTGAAGTCGCTAATTTTAGAAGCATAATTATGAAATGTTAAGCCTATTTCAACATGTTTATTCCTGGATGTAGATTTTATATGAACCATTAATATAAATTCTGGTTGATCATTTATCGTAAGGTTAGCAAATATGTCATCTTTTTGATGAGGTCTCTTAAAGCTGTTCAGTCATAATATCGAATGTAATAATAAATCGTGCACACATAAATATCTGACAAATTGTTAAGGATTTTGTGTCTTATAAAAGGTAGCCAGTTTCATCTTTAAGTTCAAATATTTGAGTTAGCACATTACGATACTACGTAGACTGTACTCCCTACATCTCTTTGTTTTTATGGAAGTTCTATTTACTCAGCTATATATAGTTATGGTTCTTTTGAATCGTATTTCAATTTACAAATAACAAAAATAATTATCTGTATGGACGCCGGCAAAGAGTACATATTGAGGAAAATTATTTCTCTTGGTGCATTACGACTGTTGGTGTTCCACAGAGTGGCGTTTTATCCCCTCTGCTTTTCGCGAGAATTGATTTTCTTCAATTCTATTTCTCAGAAACTTTATTCTTCCTACATAATTAGTTTTCTAATAATATACTCCTGTAATATACTTAAAATACATTTTCTCTCTTCTTACTTTTTTTTATTACATTTAATATGAGAGGGCTAAATCTGATACGTTTCGCTTGATTTGTTCCGGTGGTAACTTCAAGATAAAATTTCGTAAAAATACTAAATTCACGATTCCCAAGTACTCGAGATGAGATAAGTTAAAGGCAATAACTCAAAGCAACGGTCTTATATTTTTATTTTAGCAAGTTAAGTAATGCATGTCCTAAGTTCGGCGGAAACGGCAGAAAAGAATATGGTCAGCAAAATATTGTCGAATTGAGAATCTACTCTTTTATTTTTAGAAACAACTATGAATACCAATATCACGCTGACGAAAAGCTAGTAGGTAATAAATAGGGCTGATGGAGATGAAACGGATATGGTAATTATAATCGGGTAGTCATCATCAGCCCTTTTACGTCCCCAATGCAGGGGCCCAGGCCTTGCTTATGGATGATTAAGGAGGATGAGCCATGACCCTCCACGCTGGCCCAATGCGGATTGGAGCTTATTAACGACTGCAAATGCAGCCAGGACCAATGGCTTAACGTGCCTTCCGAAGCACGAAGTAGCTCGAGATAATAATTTTTTGGTCACTCATCCCGTGACTGACCCTTGCGAAAGTTGCTTAACAACAAAGATCGCGGGCCGCTGCGCTTATCCTCTACACCACCGAGCTACTTCGGCTAATTGGGTATTAATAAATGAAACTGGCAGCTTCGTGTAGGCAGTTCACAGGAAAGAAATGAAGACAAAGACATACGTACGAGTATAATATTGTTCACGACATTAATTTACAACCCAATAAATCTCGACATTTCTAAAGAATACGAAATCGGATTTTAATTAGATTCGTAAAACAATACCTTTATAGAATCCCTGTACCGATTCCAAGTATTAGTTACATTTATAATAACAATTTTATCTATATATTTGTAACATTATTGGCTTTGATTGGATGGTACTCAAAGAATCAATATTCTTAGTTTCCCGCCACGTTTAAACATTGTTTGAGATAAGTATCAAATTTGATACTGAAAGGAATTCTATGGAAAATCACAAGATAATTTGCTTTCGGTTGTTCTTTGAAAACAAATTATAATTAACAATTGACTTCACAATTATTTTAAGATAAATCGACTTGGTTGAATAATAGACATTCAATTCATCCACGGTTATAATTATTCTTAGATTAAAAAAAGTATATATACGTAGGTATGTAGTTTAACAGAAAGGATTTGATATTTGCTTAAATTAGAACTGAAAAGGGAAATTAAAAAAAAGTGGGATGGGTTTGTACTGAATTGAAAGTAGTAAGCATTTTTCTTTAATAATGAATATTATCTGTTAAATTACGATTTATGTGATGAATTGTAATATTTTTCTCAATCTTATTATCAATTAAATCTTTTATATAAATTACTTTTATATAATTAATTTATTTTATAAATTTGCATTCACAATGCTATAATAATATTTCAACATTCCGTACTTAGACTATGTTACATAAAGCCGGTCTTCCAATAATATCAATCTGACATATGACATTACTTTGAGGTTATAGCGTTTCATGGCTTACGGCTCTAGCCGGGACCAAAATCCTAACGTGCCATTCGAAGCAAGATAAAGCTCGAGATAGTAAATTTTTGGTCACCCAACCTAAGACTAGCCATTTCAAAAGTTGCTTAACATCCGTATCGCAGAACGAGTGTACTAACCACTGTGCCATCGAGCTCGATTTACACTAACATGACGAAGTTTTTCTACAGGTGACCGATCCAGAACTGCTGGTAGAATATCCACCTATGCAACATGCACATGGCCTGTTGTCAGTAGCCCTGGGTCTTAGAGTACCAGTTGGGAGGACAATGCAAGTGCGTTGCACAGCACGGGTAGCGCCCGCGTGGCGGGAAGGCAGCGAAGCTGTGGTCGGCAGTAGTCATCTTGCTGACAGCAAAGAGGCTATGCTTCTAGGTAAGCACTGATACAATTCTTATAAATTAAACCAAAATGGCGATTTTCCGCGCAGTTTCAGATCTTCGGAATACTGCGTGGTTATGATTATGCGGCGCGTGCTTGAGACCCGAAATGTTGCTACTGCGCAGTCGCCATTTTGGGTTCTGTACATATGGTATATCCTGCTCGGTAATAAAATAAGCTTAGTAAATTGTAACAGTTAGTTTACAAGGTATTTTTCTTTATCTCATGTTATATAATTTTGGGTGATCTTACCTATTGATCGTTACGAAAAATATCATCCTTATAAAGGTAAGTAAGCATTCATATAAATCCTGTACTGCACTTATTACAATCACACATGTGTCTTAGCTGACAAGAAGAACAAGTGAAAGACATTTACCAGCTATACTGAAAAATATTCTTAATGAAAACTGCTTAACTTTATCCCTGGTACTCTGAAATGGGATTCGAATCCACGACCGCAATCGAACCACTGAGCTATCCAGGAACTAACAGGTCTGACGAATCTTTCAAGCACTTGTTACTTTTTCCCTACTACAGAGCTATTTTCATCCAGTCCACTCAAACTGCCAAAAGAAATTATTTAAATTTTCAATACAGATGAAAATTTGTTCTAATAATTATTTTTGATCAGTTTTTGCATTCACAATGCTTTAATGGAAAATATTCTTTAAAATTATAAAAAAAAATCTGTCCCTATCCAGAACTCTGAAATATTTTTCATCACAGATATTTTACAGAATTATTTATTTTGTAAATAAAGATCAAACGATGCTGCTTTACGAACGAAGCAACGAAATAACGGAAAAGATGATGCTTTTTATAGTAAAAACTGTAGCTGATATAAAAATTAACAATCTTTCACTTATATGTCTTGTGACATTCATATTGTCAACACAGACTCACACACAGAAACACGCCCTCGCGTTTCCAAAGACATGCCTTTATAGAACATATAAAAGATGAGTAAAGCCTTAATAAAGTGAAATAAGTAATTAAAGATTCTCCGTTCAAATATTCCGAGTATTTCACTGACATGAGTAGTAGGTAACGTAATATATCAGTATATTATTTACTTTGTAGAATTAATATTGTATAAGCATACGCTTTCAGTTACAGTTAATTAAATGAAATCTTTCTCTTTATTTAGCCTTATTTGTGTTTATTTGGAACATGTTTTTCTCTTCTTCAGTATATAAATAATGATTTTAGGTAGTCTTGTTCTTTGGATATCTATTATTAATGCAATATTTTTGAAAAGTCATCCCAAATTTTTAAGTCTACGAATATTTAAAGACGAAGGAGATCTTCTAGATTTCCTTCACTGGATTCAGCACGCTTCACCAAGTGTATTCCAAACCGGGTTTTACCAATGAAGCCAATTATGCTTCAACCTGTCTTTTGCAGGATAGGGTGGTTAAAGAGCTCTGGTTTAAGGCTAGGTCTAACTTTAAGCATGGAATTGAGAAGAACTGGAACAATAAAGCAATCATTCACCTTAAGACCGCCCAAACGCTCTGTAGACGTTCATTGATATGACATTTGACCGGCACCGTATCAAGATTTAATATTACTCATATTGTATAACTTTAGTGACTCGATATAGTGATAAGCATTTCAAATTGTGATCAAATAATCTTTCAAATATTAATTTATATCTCGTTTAAATATGGATCAACTCGTATACAGTGCCAATACAATATCAAAACAAATTAATACAAGTATTAATGAGTAAGGGCGTAATCTCAGTGACTCAATGAACGCTTAAAATTCTATTTTTAGCGTTCATTGAATCACTGAGATGTCACCTGTTTTATTTATAATAATTTTCTATTAATTTTGTAAGTCATCATTATAAAGCATGGGATACATTAGCTTATATAAAAATTAGGGAGTCGATTATTATTAAGACAAAACTCATCGTAATGAGTAGCTATAAAAGCCAGCTTGTTACTTCTGTTCTCTATAGTGTAACCGTTTTGATTATCAAAATCGTAACTTAATTTATCCTTTAAAGCATTTTTATAAAGATTAACAACAAAAGCGTAATACAAAAATAAGTTTATGTATAGAACTTGAATATTAGTATCAAAATCATGTACGCCATCTATGTTATATTTATTCAATAGCCTATGTGGGTGGCGCTCCTATATTTTTTTTATGTTATACAATTTTTAGTGTATTGCTGACATTTTTAACTAAAAAAGATTGTTTTTTTAAAAGATTCCTTATATTCTATATTCCATTTTTTTAATTTCAGTTTATTTCAAAACTTTAAGAATTGTTATTTACTTTATGAATAAGCTGATTCTGCCTTTTTGCAAGCAAGATTATTAAAAACTCCTAGAACCTATTTAATTTTTTTCACTAGCGCCACTGTGCTCATATAAGAATATAAGTTAAATGTTCGAAAGAGTGAATTTTGGCAAAAAAAATAAAATAAATAACTAATAAGTATTTATTTATTTATTATTAGTTATTTATTTTATTTTTTTGCCAAATATTTATTTATTTATAGTATTTATTTAAAACTTGTTTGTTTGGATGAAAAATTTCAATTTAAATTATTTTTTTTTCTGGAATATTTAAGTATATGCGTACTTATGAATGTATGTGGATTCAATCAACCTGAAATATATGTAACTTTTAGGCGCCTATCAGGCATTGATTTTGATAATCAGGCCCTGATAGGTGTCATTATGAACCCTCATCGTTTTAAAACAAACCAAAAAGCTTGTTTTTTTTTAATACATTTTATTTATTTTTCGTCATATTCTAAGTAAACATATGAAACTCATTAGGAGTGTGTCAAAAACAAACCTTACTAGTCTACCATCTTGAGTAGACCGCCATATCGGAATATTAATAAAATCTTGCAAATTATTTTAATAATCTCGGCAAATTGTTTCTTTAATACTCATCTAATGAGAGTATATATGACCAGTCCGCCATCTGGTGCGATCTGCCATATTGAATTTAGCAAAGAGTAATTACCGGACTGCAAAGGTCGAGGTTATGTTTTTCGCTCGTATCTTGTATGTATGTTTGTAATATTCTTTATTACCTCATATCTTCAGAACCGCTGAACATTATATTTAATGATAATTGTTTTGTTTCAAATCCAATAATTAGGGCATTAAATTAAGGATTCAATCAAACAAAGACTCAAAAAAGTTATATCATGATTATGATTACCGTAATGCAAATAAAAAAAACATAATTATAAAGTTTAAAAATATTGACTTTATTCTTTCACTTTCTGAACCAACCGACAACTGAACGACTTTATTCTTTCACCTTGTAATGTGTCTACCTAAAAAGGCATAAATAAAGATATAAATTAAAAAAACACCCGCCTGCGTGGTACTTCGGAGGGATGCACAAAGAGATCATGCTGCATGTTATGTATGATGTTCCATAATTTGTTATCTTATATTTTAGTATTTTCTGTTAATTGTTTTTCACGCAAACGGTATTGTTGTTTTTTTCTTATTATTGTATTGTTTTTATAACAAACCCATCATTTAAGACAAGAAAATAACTAGACATCTTGTGCCGTCCATCACATGGAATTAAAAAGTTGGTAACTATCAAAATATTAGTGGAACCGGTTCAGGATAGCTGTTTTTAGTTGCAAAATTTTATGATCATACACACATAAATACATGTCAAGTAAAATTTAAGCTTCTGTAAACAGTGGACTAGTTAAAGCGGCATGAACTTAGTATCGGTAAAATTGTGCTTACTCAGTCACCCCGAACTGCAGTCTGGTCTACAATTTACAACGTGAAAAGTCTGTGGTTCGCAGCCGTCAGCTCGTTAACAACTAAACTGTCAGTATACTTAGGCAGCACCGTAGTTTCAGCAAATCTAACTAGTAGAAATAACCCTATATTAATACCTATTACAGACGTCATGATATTTCATTTACATAGTTTTGTTGATAAATTGCTTTCATTTACCTTTTTATTGAACTTCTCAAAGTGTTTGATATTGTTACTCGTCTTACCATATCACAAATAGAGATCAAATTCGCTTGTACAACAGTTGTGAGATTTTTTTTTATGATGTGAGATAGATATAAAAAATTACCACACTTTTCTTGAGTTCAATCTAGAAAAGGTTGAGAAATAGTTATATCATCAGACACTGAATATATCTCGGCATAAAGCTCTTTTTGTTCGCAACGAAGACAAATCTTAATAGGTGCTTCAACCTTACTTTAAAAGAGTTGACCCACACTAACACGGAAAGTTAAATAAAAACTTATAAACACCATACATAAAATTAGTCAGAATAGAAAAAAATAGCCTTCGCTACTACGCTACTAGTACCCGATATTGATAAATTTTTGTATTATTATTATAATATACATATTATTTGGATTATTATATAATTGATAAAAATGTTGTTACCTCTGGTGAAGAGCTGGTAAGTTTCCTTAGCTTGTTTTTCTTGTCAGAAATAAAAGGCCTTAAGAAATTGATGATTTAAAAGTGCGTGTATTAAGCTTACTTGAATAAAATATTTTTTCATTAAAAATTATCTCTGAATATTGCTTATTTATAATTAAATAAAAAAAAATATAATACAGTAATCAATAGCTGATATTCTGTTTATAATAATATACAAAAGTTTCACAAATCAATACTAGGGGTGCAGACACATTTTTTTTAAATTGTTATTTTATAGATAATACATGACATATATCTAAAAAAAGATATTGCAAAAATGACATTCATATAATTAGGGTTCAGAATAAAAATTAACGCCAATGTTGAGGGAATGGGTTAAGTTTTTAACACAATAAAATTACAAAAATAATCCAACTACAAAATTCACAATAGTGATGAGCCCCTCACTCGCGAGTTGCCTCGTTTGAGGTCCTCATTTTGACAAAATGAGAGAATACTCGTTTTTCAATTTTGAACTACCTCATTTAGCTCCTCACTTTTTGAGGCTTCAAGCACGAGGCGCGAGCACAGATATTAAACCTCACGCAACGGCATAGCGAGTTGTTTAGAATGAAAAGGCGACTCGATACAGTGTTATCGCGATTCATTAGCGCATAACGCCATCTAGTAATGCGTAGACGAACCACGCCGCTGCCGCCGCTCCGTAACAATAAGTTAAAATCTAAAAATAAATTTGATTTTCTAAATATAACGCGAAAACGCCACATCTGTCATGGTGTCGCTAT